CACAATTGGTTTTTATTAAAAGAATTTTTAAATTTAATTAATTTTAATTAATTTAATATAAAACATATAAGTCATGACTCAGAAGAAAAAGACCATAGGTTAAAAATATAGTATTTTAGAAAAGAATAAAATGTATTATAAAAGTTCTAAAAATTAGTAAAGTTTAAAATGTATTAACTTGTTAGAATAAAAAATCCTTTTTTGTAGAATAAGAACATGTATTAGGTTGCTGGGAAGTCATGACATATTTTTCTGTTTTTCTACATGAAAATGCATTATGATTTTTCCCAGAGAGGGACAGAGTGAGAGAGAGCAAGAAGATGGAAAATGAGTAAGCAAGCCACCAGGTCCGGAATTCGAACCGTGGTCAGTCATGTGAAAATCCAGCACCCTTAACCACTACACCACCTGCCAGCCCCAACAATTTTTTTTTTTAGATCGTTTCTTTAGCAAGATATTGAAATATCACACACACACACACACACACACACACACACACACACACAGAATCACTAAGAATGAAGAAGTTTAGGGAGCCAAGTGGTAGCACAGTGGTTAACACATCCAGACCCACATCATAAGGGTTTTGGGTTCTGATCTCAGGACATCCCTGAGCATACTGAGTTTCTGTGTGCCCATGTGCCAGGAGGGTTGAGATTGGCTGAGACTGGAGGTGGACTACAGTATGAAGACCTTAGCGAGGGTGCCTATATCTCTGTCTCTGCATCTCTATCTCATATAAGAAATAATAAACTTAAAAGATGTTTGAAGAATATGAATAATATATTTGGAAATGTGTATCTCTTATCTACCTATATCTATCTATATCTATCTATCTATCTATCTATCTATCTATCTATCTATCTATCTGATCATGCAGAGGTTCTAAACTTTTTGTTGACTTTTTATAGCTACACATGTGCACACAATACTCAGTGACCTATGTACAATTTATAACCGATGATGTCACAATATACATTATCAGGTACACACATTGCTTTTACTATGACAGACCATCTGCTGGACCATAAAGCAAATCTAATAAACTTTAAAGGATTGAACACATTTTTTGTAAAATTAAGACAAAAACTAACTCCAAGAAGATAACCCAAACATCACCATATAGAAAATTTAAGCAGATTATCCTAAATAAATGATGAGTCAAAAAGAAGTCATAGTAAAAATCACAAAATATTTAAATTAAAAGACAGTCTCTTTATCAAGTGGTATTGGAAGAACTGGATATCCATCTGCAGAAAAATAAAACTGGGCCCCTATCTTTCACCATTAACTAGAATTAACTCAAAATGAATCAAGGATTTAAATGTAACGCTTCTAACCATAAAACTACTGGTAGAAAACATAGGGAAAACTTTTGAAGATATTGGAGTAGGCAAAGATTTCTTAAATAAGAGCCCTAGAGCACAGACGATAGTCCCTAAAGTAGAGAAGTGGAATTATATTAAACTAAAACTAGCTCACAGCAAAACAAACTACAACTAGACTCAAAAGACAACCCTTGGAATGGAAGAAAACATTTGCAAATTATTCCTCAGTTAAGGGATTGATATCTAGAATATATAGAGAACTCAAGCAACTCACTCATTAAAAAAAAGGAATAATCCAATTTAAAAATGGGGAAATTAATTGAATAGACAACTCTCCAAGGAAGATTTGCAAATGGCCATGAGCCACATGAAAAATCTCTTTTCATGAGGAAAATGCAAATTAAAACTACAGTGAGATATCATTTAACCCCAGTTAGAAGAACTAGGATTGAAACAATAAAGAACCACAAATGTTGGTGAAGCTGTGATGAAAAGATCTCTCTTGCAATGTTGATGTGAATGTAAATTAATCCAATCTTTTTAGAAAACAATATGGAGATTCTCAAAAATTTTCAAATATAACTTCCATATGAACCAGCAATCCCAATTCTTAGTATCTACTCAAAGGACAAGAAAACAGTCAGAAAGACATTTGCTAAAAAGAAAAAAAGAAAGAAAGAAAAGAAAAAAGAAAGACAGACATTTGCACATCCCTATTTATTGCTACATTATTTACAATTCCTAAAACATGGGCCCGAACCCAAACTAGGTGTCCAAAAACTGATGACTGACTGGGTTGAGAAACTGTGGCACATATATACTATGGAATTTTACATAGACATAAGAAACAATGAGATCCTCTTCTCTGACTGAAAATGAATGTAGAAGACTCAATGTTGAGTGAAGTAAGCCAGACTTTGAAAGATACACACTGTATATCCCCACTCAATTTGTACTGAGTGTCTGCACTTTATGGCAAAGATTGAGAGATCTGAAGATGCCATGGTGGAGAGGATGGGTGTGGATGCTAGTGACATTAAGGGAGTAAATGGTTGCTAGACAGTGGGGAAAAAATTTAGGACATTATGTGGGCTTAATATGTTGTCTCTTAAATTAGTCTACAGATTGTTTCATGAATGCTTTATCAAACTACGAAAATATATGTGTAAACCTGTTTGAGGATTATAAATGATAAACATATGTTTACAAAAGAAAAACAACTCAAAATTTTCTCTTTTTTTTTTTTGTATTACCTGGAAATAGGTCACTCTAGTATATAGCTATTAATTTATCTGTCATCAAAAGAACACTTTGCCTGAAAGAAAGGACTGACTAATATGCAAAATGTTTCAATCTTTTGTAAAATTGTAGTTTATCAGTAGTTTGTGTCTGTAAGTTATTGTTATAAATATCACTTGGATCTTTGGTACACACAACTTTGTATTTTGAAGCTTGTATCTGTGAAGTTGCAACTGAAGTTTATTTTGCCAGTGTTTTCTAAATGAATTAAATAAAGTTTTTGGTGGAAAAAAAAAAAGAAAATCACCACATAGAGAATTTAAGTAGGCTGTTCTAAATAACTGATAAGTCAAAAAAGAAATCAAAATAGCAATTACAAAATATTTTGAACTGTTAATAAACCTGAATTGGAACCAGCAGTTGGTGTAATGGCTATGTCACTGGACTCCCATGTAGTCATCTACGGTTCTAGTCCCGGACCCGGTAGCTTAAACATATGCCGGGTGCATATGCGCGCATGCCCAAGATCCTGAGAGGAGAAGGGATTGCAGCATGGCCATCCCCTTGGGGGATGATTTCTTGGTTTCTGTTTCTCTCTGTCTCTCTGGGAAGCACACATGCCTTATAACAAAAACCTCTCCTCCCCCCTAAATAAATAAATAAATAAACCTGAATCAAAGAAATAGAGGAAACAAGAAATACAGGAAAATCCATAGCTTTAAATTTTACGTGTATGAAAAGAAAATTATGTAAGATTAGTAAGTATCTGTCAGGAGAAACTTTGAAATAGCAAAATAAATCAAAAGAAAGATAAACAAAAATGATCAATATGACTCAGAATGAAAATAAAATAGGAAAGTTAGAAATAGGAGAAATTCACAAAGCCAAAAGTTGGTTTTTGAAAAGACTGATCAAATTGGAAAACCTTTAACAAGTCCATTGAGGGGAAAAATGTCACTAATTACCATTACTAAGAAAGGGCATCATGAAGGTCCTACAAATATAAAACGATAATAAAAGAATATTAATGCCAGCATGTTGGAAATATAGATAATATGTGCAAATTGCTTTTAAAATATAACTTATTAAGATGACATAAACAATAGATCTATAGAATATAAAATCCAAACGGGCCTATAGATATTTTAAAAGCAGAATCCATAATTGAAAGTCATTTCATAACTAACTTCTCAGACACAGTTGGCTCTAAACAGATTTCTTCCAAATGTTTAAGGAAGAACTATCACCAGTATTAACAAACTATTCCAGAAAAGGCAGGAGAACTTCTCAAATCATTTTTTGAGACCATCATATCCTCCCTACTAAAACCCATGGAGAACATGACAGATATTAAAAGGCCAATTTCTCTTGTGAATGTGGATAAAAATATAATAAATTCAAATGAGATATTAGTCAGAATTCAGTGATTTATGAAAATGCAAATATAACATCACCAAGGAAAATTTGAGACTACATAAACATTTTAAAATCAATCAATGCTAATTAGTGGTATAGTAGTTAATGTGGCTGGATCCCACATGACTGACAGTGCAGTTCGAGTCTCAGATCTAGAGGCTTGAGAAACATGCTGGGCACATGTAAATGTGTGTCCAAAAATCCCTAAAGGAGGGAGAGATGGAGGAGAAAGGATTGTGGCATGCCCATTTTCCATGGGGGGGGGGTTCTCTTCTCTCTCTCTCTCTGCCTCTCTCTGTCTCTCTATCTCTCTTCATGTGTACATGTTTTGTCATGAATAAAAGATATCACTATTAAAACAATGTGGTATTAGTGCATGATAAATAAATCAGTGAAACAGAAGAATCCAGAAACAGACCCACACGCGTGCCATTACCCAATTTGCATCAGCTGTGCCAATTCCGTGCAGTGAGGAATGGATGATTTTTCTAAATAAATGATGCAAGATCAGCTGCATATCCATTTGGGAAAAAAAAAAAAAAAGGAACTTTGAAATTTAGACCATCCATAAACACCAAATGCAAATAGATGGTTGATCGTACCTGAGAAGTCAGAGATAAACACCCAGGATCTGTCATGGGAGATGAGTGGATATATGGTTGGGTAGAAGCCTCATGGTAAAGAATTAAGACATGAAGGATTGGTGGGATAGATAACACAAAAGGACCACATTTACAGGAGTAAGCGTCATAATAGTAATTGCAGAGTGGGGATTGAGAACAAAGAGAATTTGAGGCAGCATGGGGAGAAGGAAAAGAGGTAGAAATGGAAGGCTGAGAGAGAGATAAATTTGATGAAATAAAGGTCAAAGTGTCTAAGGAAACAAAACAGAAAAAGGGGAAAGAAAGGAACTATTTGATGCTAAATTACTCTCACATAAGAAGAGATCATCATTCCTGTTAATTATATGTAAACAATGCCCTTTATGGTATATAAAAATATTAATTTTTCTTTAAGGTGGTTCGAGCCTTTCGTCATGCAGTGGCTGGATGAAAATGAAGATGTGTCAATGGAGTTTCTTCATGGAGCACTGGGAAGAGACAAAAAAGATGGAGTGAGTTTAAATGAACTTCAGATGCTCATGGTTGTGATTCAGCCACATTGCTCACTCTTAGATTAATAGGAATTGTTAGGCCCATTGATATTAATTTGGTTTCATTTTAATTTCTCACTGACCAAAATAAATTTAAAACAAAATTTCAAAAAGCTGCTTTAAATCCTAGTGAATTGCTTAAATTAAAAACAAGCAAACAAACAAAAATCAATCACCCCTTTCACTCAAGATTCATCTTTACTTTTCGAATTGGTCTGTATCTACGAGTTCCCCAGACCTGTACAAAACTTCCCATTTCCTGTTCTTGGACCTTTCCAGGATTTCTAGATTAGGCACATATACTATCTTTTCCAGTCTGTTGTGTTACTTAATAAGAGCTGAAATTCATTCACTTACAAAAAGTTTTTTAAAAGGTCTATTTAACTCTTGGTTTTGGAGGCCCAAATTCAAGGAGCTACATGTGTGAGGACCTTCTTGCTTGTGTGGGTCCCTGCAGAATCCTGAGGTGGTGCCTGGCATCACATGGCAAGAGCTTTAGCCTAGCAAGAGTGTGAGTATCTCGGTTTGTGTCTTATAACCCATGAGTATCCAAGCAGGAGGTCCCATCCTGATTCTTAATCTCCTCCCAGAGGTCCCACCTCATAAGACCATGGTCAGAGTAAGCTATCACCCTCTCTGCACTATGATAATGGTTCACCAAATTTAACACATGAATTGTGGGAGATACCTTCAAGCCATAGCTTCCTCTTAGTCACTCTGCAACAACTCTCAAGAGTCTTGTGTCACAACTGGCTCGCTAAGTTATCCCATTGTTATGGGATAGGGAAATATGAAAGAAGTAGTCTTTCAATTCAGCAGTGAAAAACTGCAGCATGGCCTGCCTTGTGATATTATTTCAGGATGCTTTCCAGAGAAGGAGATGAATGGTTTTAACCCATGTGTTTCATTACCTGGAAATGTAGGTATATGATATGAGCTATTTAGCTGTTTGTGTGAAGTGATGAAGTGTCTTTCTATGTCCCCTCTAATGTATTTTCACTTCCCTTCTCCTCAGTTCCAGCAGACATCTGAACATGCTCTCTTCTCTTGCTCCGTGGTCGATGTCTTTGCCCAGCTCAATCAGAGCTTTGAGATTATTAAGAAACTGGAATGCCCTAATCCTGAAGCATTATCTCACTTAATGAGACGATTCGCAAAGGTAGGTTAAATGGATTCAATCTTTTCTTTTCTGATACTGTGGCAACCTGAACAACATGGTTGTTTTGTAGTATTGTCTTCTTTCACACCACCATCCCAATTTAATTTGTAATTTTGTACCAGAAGGTTCAGTTGTTTGCAGTGTTGTATCTGAGTTCTTGTACTTCCTATTTCTTTAATATGGGTTTTCCCTTACAACCTCTTTATTACTCATGTGGATGACCTACTCATTTAAAATTGAAGAAAACACCTTGGAATGGCCAAATTATTTCCCCTTCAAATGTGGTGCTTTCTAGTTTGGCATTTCATATTCAAATTGGCATTTTTTTTTTTAACCAGATACTATTATATAGTAAAATGTAAGTGGGACTTAGAGTCAAGAAAATGAGTTCTGATTACAAACCAGCCAATAACTGTAGTATGAATATGAATAGTTCAGTTGGTTTTTATGAATTTGGGTTTCTTATTTGGCAGGATGATCTTGACCAGCCAAACTTCTTTTAAGCCCTTCTCTCTTAACATGTAAGGTGACTTGCTTTGTGCTCACTATTTTGGCATGAGTTTCAAGGGAACTGTAAGGAATAAACAAAGGCATCTCAGGCTATTAATCTTAAGAAGAATCCCAGATAATACTCAAGACCACATGACATACATGGATGGGCAGATGATACAAGAAGGGACAAAATTCAGCTTTCCACCTAGGGGGATCTCTAATAAACTGAGCAGAGGGAAGTCTGATGAGGGTTGAAAAAGAGGTTTCATGGTAAATTAGGACTTATTGAAGATGAAAACAGGAAAATTAGAAAATATCGTAAGCCAGGAAGAGCCAAGGGAGTAGGAAATGAGCATGAGATTGCAAGGACAGGAGAAGCACCCTTACTGGGAGAAGCTAGGAGAGTGAAAATGGTCTAGATCTTAAGAACACTGCTTTCTAGAGGTTTAGCTTGATTTCGTTGTTCCATTTAGAAAACACTGAACATTTGGAAAAAAAAAAATTAACAAAAAAGATTTGAAACAAATCTTTTGTTGTACTTGCTATTAGTTGTTTGTTTTCTTCATGATAGGAAACATGTGCACACATGTGAGAAAGATAGAGTAAGAGACGGGGGGGGGATTAGCATCCTCCAGTTCTTTAACTTGTCAAGATCTTGTGTGCATATGCATGCACCTGGAGTGTCTGAGTATCTTTGGGCCAACCCAAGATATAAACTCACAGTTGGTCATGTGACTTCCCCCACACAGCAGTTCGGTTTGCTGTTAACTGTGTCCTTTTTTTTTTTTTTTTTTTTTGGAATTTCTGATTTACATATCATTATTTGGAGATTTTTTGTTTGTTTGTTTTGTTTTTTAAGAGGTGTTTTTTGCTATAGGGCATGTGCGCTCGCCAGAAAGCCAGAGAGACACAGAGAGACAGAAAGTGAGAAATCACCCCCCAAGGGGGCTGGCGACGCCACAATCCCTTCTCCTCCATTCTCCTCTAGGGATCTTGGGCACGCACGCACACGCGCCCGGCGTGAGTTTAAGCCACCAGGTTCGGGACTCGAACCACAGTCGTCTACATGGGAATTCAGCGACATAGCCACTACACTAACTGCTGGTCCCATTATTTGGAGGTTTTTGAACAGGGTAATGACATTACAAACTTAGTAATTTAGGGAAACTACTTATGACGATAAAAGCTCATGGAAAAATAGAATTGAAGTGTGAGTTCATTTAGTGCAATTTTTTTTTAATTCACGCAGTTTTTCATAATATATATTTTCCATAAACTTGTTGAAGACACACAGTTCTACGTCTGACTGACCTAAACACAAATTTGGCTCTATTGGTTGAATGAGGACTGAGGTTTCCACTGTTCACTCAAAATATGCTTACTGATTGCCTCCCTAGAACATTTTATTAGCCACATTGAAGAAGGTAGTCATGAATAAGCACCATCTCTAACCTCAAAAACTTGTAATGGAAGAGCCAGAACTGTGCACAACTAAGACGAAGTCAAATGCTACAGTCTGGAAACTTGGACGTTGAAAGAGGTCCTGAATGAATGAATGAATGAATGAATACATGCATGTATACATTCATTAATTTGACGTGTTAAAAATAAGGAATTGCGGGACCAGCAGGTGTCATAGTGGTTAAGGTACTGAACTCTCACTTGGCCATCCACAGTTTGAGTCCTGAACCTGGTGGCTTGAAACACATGCCAGCCCTGTGTACACACATGCCCAAAATCCTGAGAGGAGAAGGGAGGAAAAAGGATACCCCCTGGGGAAGGTGATTTCTCCCTTTCTGTCTCTCTGGCAAGCGCACATGCCCTATATCTCTCAAAAAAAAAAAAAAAAGAATAAAAATAAGGAAATGCAAAACTCAGCTTAAGTTGTACAATATTTAAGATGTATTAGATTGCTAGGGCTGCCATCACAAAATGCCACATACTGAGTAAGTTAAACAGAAATTTTCCCCTCATACTTCTGCAGGTTGGAAGTCCAGGTCAAGGTGTCTGCAGGTTGAGTATCTCCTGAGGCTTCTCCCCTAGCTTGCAGATGACTGCCTTTCCATTGTTTCCTCACATGACCTTCCCTCTGTGCATGCATGCTTTGATGTCTCTATTTGTGTTCAAATTTCTACTCTTTCTGAAGACATATGTCAGGGACTGGTCCCACGTTAAGGGAGCCAGATCCCACAGTTGATGGTGTGACTGGAGTTCTGGCCCTGTTAGCTTGAAAAAACACACCAGTTGCCTGTGCTTTAGTGCCCAAAATCCCAACAGGATAGAGAGATGGAAAAGAGATTGTGTGTAACTATACACCTTTGAAGGGTGCTTTTTTCTTCTCTCTTTGTCTCAGTTGGTTTTGTACATGTGCCCTTTGATAAAAATAAATGAGTGAAGAAACTAGTTATATTGGATTAGGGTTCACCTCAAGGCCTCATTTTGACTTAATTACCCCGTTAAGGCCCAAAGACATCTCTAAAGACCGTCATGTTGCAAGGTCCTGCCAGTTAGAGATTTAACATGCAAATTTCAGGGAGATGCAATTTTGCTTTTAACAGATGTGGACACTAAACGCATTGTTGGTTTTAACCACAAAGACCGACCCAATGGGTATATAGGTCATTTGGCATTACCACAAAGAGTCTAAATTTGAGGTCCTTTGTAAATGGGATGCCTGGGCATACCTCTTAGAAAAGTGTAAACTTGGTTCTCTGATAGATGATTAGGAAAAATGTCCAGTAGAAGGTAGCATCTTTATTTATTTATTTATTTATTTATTTATTTATTTAGAGAGGTTTATGCTGTAGGGTGCATGCACTCACCAGAAAGACAGAGAGAGAGAGAGAGAGAAAGTGAGAAATCACCCCCCAGGGGGGATGGCCACACCACAATCCCTTCTCCTCCATTCTCCTCTTGGTATCTTGGGTTTGCATGCACATGCCCCTGGCATGAGTTTTAAACCACCGGGTCCAGGACTTGAACCACAGTCGACTACATGGGAGTCCAGCAACATAGCCATTACACTAACTGCTAGTCCCTTCTCTCAGGATCTTGGGCACGCACACACATGCGCCTGGCATGAGTTTAAGCCACTGGGTCTGGGACTCTAACCATGGTCGACTACGTGGGAGTCCAGCAACATAGCCATTACTACAACTGCTGGTCCTGGTAGCCTCTTTATTAACCATGATAGAGTGGTTTATGCTGAGGTAATAGCTAAACATGGAAAGTCGATGGTTTAATACCAGAAAAAATGTTTTCTTGCTCATAAAACGTTAGCTATGGGGCCAGTAGGTGGCATGGTGGTTGAAGTGCTGGATCCCACACAGCTCACGTTTTCAAGTCCCAGACCTGGCATCTTGAAAATCATGCTGGATGCGTGTGTGCCCAAAATCCAGAGAGGAGAATAAAGGATAGAAGATCGTGGTGTGGCCATCCTACCTGGGATATGATTTCTTACCTTCCCTCTCTTCCTCTCTCCAGTGAGGGTAAACACACGTGCACTATATATCAAAATGTTATAAAAATTTTAAAAATTCGATATGGTTAGGGTGACCCTACAGGGGTGCTCTCTCTCTCGTCTGTAACTCAGGGTTTCTATTCTGAGAGGTCCCAATAAGGAGAGAGAATGGAGTTCCTAGAAAGGTCATAAGTGTCAGGTTAAAAAATTGTGTGTTAAAAAATTTGTAGGAGAACAAAATGGTGACCCAATTTAATAGAAAATAAGCAACCAATGAGGGAGTTTAGGCAAACATGTTGTCAGATTAGACTGTATTATAATACATACTTGCCATGAAATACTTGGACTCAACTCTTTATTAATTAGGAAAACTAAAGTATCCTTCTGGTATTTAAGGCAAAAGCTAAAGATCATTTATTTAGAACATTCCTAGAGGAGACTTATTTGGTCACAGGTAATTATAATTTCTTAACATGGTGAGAGCTGCAGGATAATTGTACTAGAATTTTTTAAGTCTTTTGAGTAGCAGCTGATTTCTGGGTGACTGCCAAGAAAAGAATGAAACAGGGCCATCAGCGATAGTTTTTGAAAAAGTGTATCACATGCTATTCTTGGGTTCTGCAGGGCTTTTAGTAGAAGCACAGTCAAAGGCGATTTTTAAATCCTCAGGGTTAATATATTTAGTAACAGATGGTTGTAATCATGTAGAATATTAGAAAAGTAACTGGGATTCACCCTCAGAGTCATCAAGAAGCCTTTGAGCATTCGAGAAAGTAGAGAAAATGCTGAGCTGAGACTCTGTGGCCCTGGGCTCCAGCCCACTCTATGTCTTAGTAGCTCTGACCTTTCTCTACTTGACAAGCTGAACTAACCCACAATGAGCCTGCTGGGTGTGTGACCAGACAGAATGAAGGGAAGTATAAAGGAGGCGTAGGAGGTCACAAAGAGGGTCACATTAGAATCACACTCAGGAAAACACATTCTCTGAAGCCAGCAAAAAAGAGTAAGGCTCCATGTGTCATGAGGAAATGTGTGCTTTTATTAGCAC